CGCAAATAGAGGATGTAGGACTCGGGAGCTATAATAGGTTTGGTAACCAGGCTAGTATCAAACCAACATGGACACAGGACCATATATGGTCATTTATGCATATTATGCAACGTTGAAAACTTTCAAACGAACAAAACAAAACATAAATAGTTTTAAAAAGCTTTTACTTGTCGTTGTTTTTAGTCATCAGGTATACTACCGTATAGGGGCATATTCGCATAAAACGTAAGAATAGTCCATTACTAACTAACATTCAGTAATGATTCATAGAAAAGTACAGACATAATTCATTGTAGTCTTAAAATCTGTGTCAGGAATTGGCTTCCCTTTTAATGACACAACCCAGTCAGTACGTCTGTTTTCTTTTAAGTTTTATACAGCAACCTATCAATGGTTTTCCATTGCCTATACATGTATACTGCAGTATCAGCATGAACTGCCAGGTGTCGCAGAAAAGCTGCATGTAAACAGTATAAGCTTGTACAAATGGCTGACAATGCAGAACATAGAATTGAGTTGACGAAAGAACATATTTGGCAAATAAAACTATCTAACACCGTAGCAAGTTAATTGTAGCAAGTTAATTGCACGGCATTTTACAAACGTATCGAACTTTAGGTTTTAATCTGACGGAAACTTTGGAGGTGTGGCTAGACAGTCAGGTTTATGTATTATTGTCGATATCGTGCCTGCCCCGAAAGATGAGAAAGCGTAACCATAAACAAATACCATAGGTCACACGGTCTCTACTAACCAGTCTGTTTAGTAGAGTTTACTCAATATCGTGTCTCCCTCTTCAGCAATTTAACCAAACTTGTAGGATTTGCCATCAACATCCAAAACCTTCCCGATAATATCCTAGTACAATTACTGCTTAGAGGTTCCTCTTCTCTGTCGGTTTCTAACAACGCTAAACTCTTACAATGTGTTCAATTGTTTATAAAAGAAACGGAAAGATTTGAGTAACCATCAATTTCTTATCCTACCAGTTTGTTGATTGACTTGGAATGCCTACTTACTCACTTATCATTTACCTGCATATACTGTTATATATTTAATACATATTATATGATTTAGTTATAATACGGCTTACTTTAGTCTACCTTATTACTCTTATGCTTTGCATGTCTGTATTTGTAACTACATGTATATATTTTTGTAACGATGACGACACAAACATAAGCATTGTAGCTTGAGTATGTCGTCATCCTGTCTTGTTACTAAATGTTATAATAAATTAAAAAAAACAGTCTGTTAAATTGACGTAGGATGGCGCAAATACTTTCACTTTTTGACAAATTGGTGATCACGTGATCATACCCTGGGTACGAGAGCGCCGAGTACCCCGGGGCCGTGAATCCTCCACGGCGCATGCTCGGCGCCATAATGAACCAGGACCTGTGTACAAAGCTCTCGCCGATCGAGGAAGTGGAGCTTTATTCCGACATTTCCTACGTCAACATCGCCGTGTGGGCCTCCAGGATAGCATGGCACATGTGATCGCAGTTTCTCCCAGCGCCCGGACGTGATTTGAAGCCGGAATGAAGCGTCTGACGCTGAAAAACTTGAAGCGCTCCCTGCACCACCAAAGTAAACAAGGTGGGGAGGGCGAGGGCATAGAGGAGACGTACAGCGACTCGGAGGCGACGTGTCGCGGGGAGGACTCGGACGAGTCTGCCGAGGTCCCCGGGAGGAGGCTGCGGCGGGCGGGGACGCTCCCCTACCCCTCACGGCGGCGGCGGGAGCGCGAGGGCTTCATGAGCACCATCCGGCACCGGCTGAAGATCGGCAAGGGTGCGCAGGAGAACTGGACAGAGGAGGAGGCAGGGGATCATGAGGAGGAGGCGGCGTTACCCACTCGCCGGGCGGCGCGCTCCAAGTCCATGAGAGTCCGTAAGAAGGAGCCCACAACTGTCGCCCTGCGCCCTGCCAACTCAGAGGAGAACCTGAGTCAGAGGAAAGACTCCCATTACTGGATGCGCAAACTAAAAGAGAAGAACAGAAAGGACCTTCCCGCACCTCCACATGATGAGGATGGTGAGGAAGATCAGAATGGAGAGATCACCATGGACATCTGTCACAAGAAAGTGGAGAGAAAGGACTCATCTGACTCCAGATCTTCTAAAAGTAGTAAAAGTAAGCACTCTCCGTTTACCGTGTCATCTATAAACTGTACGCAGGAGAAGCCCACGTCGAGTGAAAAGTCACGGCTCAAGGCGCTGCGGTCCTTTTTGACTCTGCCAAGACGCAGTTTTAAGAAGAAGGGGTCGAAGGAAAAGGGGGAGCCAGATAGTCCGGACAAGATTTCATCCAATGGCGTGTCCCCTCGCGCCCTTCCCCCTTGTCCGTCACTGACAGAGTCACATGACATTTTCAACGGTGCCAGTTCAACGGTCCCCAGACCGCGCAACGGGAACAACGGATCGTCTTACGAGCCATATGACGACGAGGACAATGAGCGTAAAATTGCGTCGTACGAGCAAGTCGGGGGCCGCGTGCACGTCAACCACAGCCTGACGGAGGAGCTGCGGAAGTTAGTCAGACACGGCTGGTACTGGGGTCCGATATCGCGCGCAGAAGCGGAGGAGAAGCTCGCGCACCTCTCAAACGGTTCGTTCCTGGTACGGGACAGCTCGGACGACAGGTACCTCCTCAGCCTCAGTTTCAGATCGTACGACAGGACATTCCACACGCGCATCGAGCACTGTAATGGGATATTCAGCTTCTACTCGCAAGTCGAGTCTGAGGGCCATAAATCCATCGTAGACTTGATAGAACACTCGATGCGCGAATCGCAGTCTGCCGTCTTCTGCTACTCCCGCTCCCGGACGCCCGGCGCACCGTCATTCCCCGTAAGACTGACCAATCCGGTGTCGCGATTCACACAGGTGCGGACCCTACAATACCTGTGCCGCTTTGTGATTCGCCAGTACACCCGCATTGACCACATCCAGTTGTTGCCGCTCCCGACCAAGATTCGGGAGTACCTGCAAGAGTGCCATTACTGAGACACAACGTGTTGAGAAGAGAGTCAAACTAACATCCGTCTAAGTAAGAGACTAGTTTGTGGAAAACAACAACCCTGTACAATATAACACTCAAAATTATATTGTTCATAATACAGCAATCATGAGCATTTTCAAATCTTACATCGTCCAATTGACCCCTGCAATATTTGTTTTAGATGAGCAACTGACCTGTTTTTTCTCTAGCTTGAATTTTCACTAAGAATCGGATAAGACTAATAGACACATTTGCTTAAGTTGGTCACCCCAGCCTGACATTGTGTACTGTATTTATAATGAAGCAGTGAAATTCTAACAAGTAGTGCTAGGAATGGGAGTGTAAACAGTGAAGTGATGAGTCATGTAGGAAACCTCCCCCCACTGTGGTGTTATGGTGACTCAGATCGTGGTTGGAGTTCTACTCTCACAAAATGCCAAAAATGTCCCAACCATGACCACATGATTATGTCAGATGCAATATATAAGTGTCACAGAGGGCTTCATTTTAACACATAGGTTTACACCCACCAACGTTACGGTTCTGTTATGTTGAAAATGTTGAAGCAACATTAGATCTCATTTTTTAATTCAAACCTGTCTCAATACATGATATGGCATCTGTAAATGCATCAATGTACTAAAGATGAATATGAATGACATAGAAAACGACTGCTATAGCAATAATGACATGTTAGTTTGATGTTACATATTTGGCCATAGCTCTACTTGAATCAGATCCATGTGCCTGAATGTTCGTATGTGACTACAACGATGTCATGCTCATGTTATTCCAGTTCCACTCCAAATTTTGAAAGTCCTCTCCCAGATTTCTAAGGCACTCTGTTGGAAGAACCAGTACATTGTACTACATACATCTCAAACTGAACAGTTTAGATTTGCACAATATCTGTTGTTCATAACAGAACAAAATATCTTTATTTCTACCATAATACGTGTACTAGTAGTTATGGAGATACTTGCCCTGAAAGGAATCTTTGAACCTATAGTGTCTTTCCAGATTTAAAACTCCCAGTTGCCTAACCCTGTAACCAGTAAGACTTAGGTGCCAAAGGGTCTCAGTCGGGTGGAGGTTGAAATATTCTCAACAAAATCTACTTGTATTTGGTCTGTGTATACCCCCTATCCCTGGATCTTCATATAGATTGACTAGCGTGGCCTCAAACTTGTTGTATCGGCAGAATGACCTGTTTTTTTGTACATTTAGAGAAAAAAGAAAGAAAGTAGGTTATAAAAAGAAAGGGTGGCCCGGCGCTCAAATTACTTTATTTCTGTTTTCTGCAATATTTGATTTGTGGTAATGAGTCTGGGTTGTTTGAGCTTGCCAAATTTGCAAGAAATTTGTATTTTTCTGCAATGTCAACATTTTTTTTTTGTAAATTGCAAGTGGATATGTTGAGCCCTGAACACAAGAGCATTCATGTATGTTGGATACAACTTAGTATTGATGCCGAAGAACAAAAAAAGTCTATGGACAATGGAAAATGGTTGCAGTTAGAGGGAGGAATGACCACTGCCATAAGTGCTTCAATTCTCATCATAAGGATCCTTTAAGCATTAAGCAGCAGCCTTTCCTCCTGTTTGAACATGTTGTTCTGTCATAGTTTTTCTGTGAGAGGCATATGTGCAGTGGAGTCTTCATGTGAACTTGGTTGTTATTTTACACACAAGACCATTATGGGTGGATGATGTTTTCAGGATTTTTAGGTACAGATCAACACTAACTAAAAACACAAGCTGGTGTTATGTTACAAGTGTGGTTTTCCCTAGCCTCCATAGCATGCCAAAAACTGGGGGTCTTTGGGAGCTTTTATGTGCTATTTTCTGATTGCATTTAGACCACATAGCCGGCCTGGTTGAATACCCCTGTTTTTTGAACTGGGCTAATCAGAAAACAGCCGAAGACCACCAAACCCCAAGTTCTGTAAGCCTGCTACAGAGGCTAGGTTTTCCCAGCCACAGGTAATCTCAGCAAACTAATTTGTTTCACACTAGACATGTTAGTTTTCGTGGTCAGTAAGTATCCATGAAATGGACACTGTAGAAAACACCAGTTACAAGTTCGAGTTGCAGTGTTTCTTGTTTTGTGGCAAAAATGGAAGACATACTTTGTGCATTAGACTTACTATCTTGGTACCATGATGCAATGACTGTTCCTCAACTTTTTATATGCTGTTTCCATCCATGACATCACAATCAAACAATGTGTACCAGTAGCGTCAGGGTATAGAATGTGTGCATACATGGATGTATGCACAGCTCGTTCATACAATTGATTTCAACTTGTACAGGGAGAAGTAACATTGAGTAGAATGGTACAACATAGCAATGTTGAAGTACATCACGTGGCTCAATCTCAGCAATGTACATTTTGGCCACATCAAGTAATTTTTATGGATGACATCAGCGCACAAATTGATTTTCGCCTGATATCTGTTGCCATGTCTGAAGGTGGATGGCAGATAACTATGAAGAGAGGAGACGAGAAGGCTCTGATTTAATGTTTTGTTTCTTACCTTGATGCATGCAGTGATATGTGATGGTGGTTGTGTATATGTGATGTTCCCACTGAATCAAAACCATATGTACAATGATTAAGTCAAATTTTTAAATTGTAGAAACCTTGTTTTTTTCGGCTTGCCTTGTTTTTTTTTTTTGCCCACTCGCATTACATTTGGAGTCTGCGGAGGATGTCATCCATAAAATTTACTTGCTGTGGCCTTGCTGACCTGGTAGGTTTGATATGCATTAACACAATTGTTTATTAGAATTGAACAGTCCTACAAGGAACAATATAGTAGTCCCAGACAAACAGCAGCATTTCTCATAAGACATTTTCTCTGTCTTCATGATTTTTCAGGCAGTTTGTTATTATTGGCAATACTTTGTGAGGTTCACTTACCTGCACATAACGCATAAAAGTGTGTCATTAAGCAAGTTCGTTAAGCACCTTCAAGTTGCTATTGTCATAAGCCAAGACATTGGTACATGTAAGCCTTCTTTAATATGTCTGAATTGTTGTTTAACCTGTGTTGAAGATACTGCAATGTTTGCCACTGATCATGCCTTGCCATATCAATGTGTTAAATTAAACTATTGATTGTAACTTCATGTGTATTTGTATTCTTTGCTGTGAGATCTTCTTTGTGAATATATTTTCAACTTAGCCTCCATAGCATGCCAAAAACTGGGGGTTTTGAGGGTCTTCAGGGTCTTTGAGAGCTTTTATGTGCTATTTTCTGATTGCATATACTTTAGACAACATAGCCGGCCTGGTTATATTACCCCCGTTTTGTTAGAACTGGGCTAATCAGAAAAAAGCCAAAGACCACGAAACCCCCAGTTCTATAAGCCTGTTACGGAGGCTATGTTTAACTAGAAGTCAAGGATCTCATACCTTCATTGTTTGTTATTTGTGTTGGTTTCTACACCTTGTAACCCCCCCTGCAAGACCTAGTAACAAAAATCATATAAAGCACCTGTAGTGTAAAACACATCTAACCCAGTACCGCTGGCTTAGAAAGCTACTAGAAATTTGTTCATTGTCAAACTTCACTTGGTATTCCCAACCCAACACACCCAGTTTATGACCGTTTAAAAAATTGACAACCCAAACATAACACATACTTCTCGAAGGAAAAAAAAATGGTAACCCTTAAGATGGCTCTTTCGGCCACACCGACTTAATTTTATGGATGACATCCTCTGAAGACCCCCAAACTAGTGCGCGGGGGAGAATAATAAAAAAATTCCGGCCCAAAATAAGAATGCTACTAAACAACAGAAATACAAAGCTGGTATTGTTAATTTGTGTCAGTACATAGCGACGTACATGTATACGACAAGCTGGGCCCATGCTTGCTTTTTGCGGAGTTTATGAACCGGCACTGTACGTATGTACAATGTACTGAGATCTTGAGTCATGGAGCTTCGGTAGCCTGGGTGCTGTCCTCCAGAGTTACCACCACTCCAGCTCCATATTGTCGCTAACTAGAACCATGGACTACCCAGGCCTAGAGCCAGGCCAGAGCCTCGGGGGACGTGATCTTTTTTTTTTTTTTTTTTGAGGACAGGCGAAAATCAATGCGCACACGGATGTCATCCATAAAATTAAGTCGGTGTGGCCTTACCTAGACAAATACATTTATTATAAGTTAATGCATGTAGAATACTCCGCTGTGCTAAAGCTTTCATTTCACCCTACTTTGCCAATTTCTGCTTCTGATATTTGATCAACAAAAAGACACTTCAACCATAACACCTGAGCACAAGCTTTCCAGGTAATTTATCGAACACTTCACTTGCGTCATTCGGTCATTAATAGGCAGGAAAAGTAGCAGACAATTATATTTCTGTCATCCATGTAATGATTGTTTTCTGATGCCTCTCATCACAGAAGTGCTAAAAAAAATGCAGACAATCTGGTCGGTTTCTTTTCATCTGCATTTCAGGCACATGTCGGCAATACTTGATGTGCCTCTAGCCTGCAGTGAACACTTTGTTGCTGCCGTACTCACTCAGCAGACCAATACATGCCTTGTCACCTCAGGATTCAGGGCTCTCCCCAAGCAATGGAGCAAGGGTGCTCCCCCTCTCCCCAAAATCCTAGAACCTCTCCCAAAATGTTCAAATTTAGGGTTTTCTCTTAGGCCACACCAATTTAATTTCTTGGTTAACGGATTCGGCCACTTAATTTTTTTCTGATTTGCAAATGAAAATAAAAATTCAGAATCAACTGCAAAATACTCATATTTTGCCCTGAACAGTTGAAAACAGTCCTTTTCTTCCTAGTTGTTACAGTTATTCCATCTTTCAATGCAATGATATCATTAAAAGTTCAAAATTCATTGTTTAAATTTTGTATCAGCCTGGTATGTTGACTTCATGGCTCCTATCATACCATTTTGGGCCATAATAGGATGCCTAGGCCTGTTTTTATTATTATTATTTTTCGCCCGCCCGCCCGCTCCATTTTGTATTTTTGTAGAAAAATCCGTTGATAATAACCAAGAAATTAAATTGGTGTAGCCTTAGTATTTAGATAAAAATTTGCTGTTTTTCATCAACTGATTAGGGAGCACCTCTCCCCTCAGAACTTCTGGGGGGACCCCTGGGATTGTTGAAACACACCGGATAGTATTTATTTGGCCACACCAATTTAATTTGTTGGTTCTCGGATTCACCTCTTCATTTTTTTTTCTGATTTGCAAAAATTTTGGCTCTGAATCAACTAAAAAATGCTCATATTTTGCCCTCAACACTTGAGGAAAGTCCTTTTCTTCCTAGTTGATAGTTTTTCCATCCATAAACACAGCGGTTTGATTAAAAGTTCAAAATTCATTGTTTAAATACTAACCCAGCCTTTTGACTTCATGGCTCCTATCGTAGCATTTGGGGCTATAATAGGATGCCTAGACATTTTTTTTTTCGCTCTGTCGCTTCATATTTTTTCTGAAAAAATCAGAGAACCAACAATTTAATTGGTGCAGCCTTAATGCAGAGGGTTAGTGGGGGGACGCGTAAAGATGTCATGATTCTATTTGTATCCATGTCATTGGAGGGCCTTGCCTCCTGCTTCTAGTGCCCATCATCCTGGCATTCAAGCGATCGCTTGTAAGAGCTGCATTAACTAGATTCATTGCTCACTACAGTTCTGACTTCCCTTGCTCTTGGACCACGTCTTGTGGCTGTGCCTCCTGTACAGCTTTAAGGCCTCAATAGTATTCTTGCTAGTTTTAAATATTATTACAATTGTATATAATGAATGATATTTTATGGCAGTGTATTGTATTGCATTTTTATGACTATTGTATATTAGTGTAGGAATTTGTATTTCATGTCAACAATTGTTCGCCTTTGTAATTTGTATTGCACTGTATCTACATTGTTGCTTTTGGGAGGACAACTTGTAAAGGTGTCAATACACCTGTTTTGTCCTCCCTTCCACTTGTATGTTTGTACTTGTGGTGAATTCTAATACAAAACAAATAGTGGGGTAGCATTTGTTTCTACAAGGGACTAGAGTGGCATTTTCTTTTCAGTGGAGGGCCTTGTTCAGGGAAGAGTTGTATCTGCGCCATTCTGCGGAGATAGATACATTTTGCAAAAAATTATCAGGGCAGAAAGAGGCATATCTGCAACAAATATAGCTGTGGTTTTATATTTGTTGTTGTTATTCATCCGTCCTTCTCAACAATGACCAATGACATCAGGTCAGCTTTTATATCTAGTCTGTCTAATGCAAACTCTGCCGTCCACGGCTTTAGTGGCCCTTTCGGGGGGCGGCTGGATGTTGGGCGGCCGGCAACCGTAAAGTGATTTAATCAGGCTACTTTTACATGTATATCTAGGTGTTAAAATACGAGAAGAACCCTCAATACTTAGACATGAAGGACAATTCATGAACAAATGCTGGAAGATTATGAAAGGGTTACAGAGCTTGTTTTTAATTATACATGACAGCATTCAAACGTTCTTACATATAGGCGCCAAGCCTTTATTTTCTGATTCCGTAATCGCGATATTATGGTAAAGGAAGTGCACCAGATATATTTCCATCTTTCTTGCTACTAAGTATGTCACAACAAATTTCTCATACTGGATTATTTTTCATCTAGTCTTGACTGTCTTGTGGATGTAGGTAAGGTCACACTAATTTAATTTGTTGGTTCTTGGATTCGCCTCTTCATTTTTTTCTGATTCGCAAAAACCAAAAAAAGATTCTGGTTCTGAATCAAGTCAAATATGCTAATATTTTGCCCCCAACAGTTGAGGAAAGTCCTTTTCTTCCTAGTTGTTATAGATTTTCCATGTACCAATGCAGTGGTTTGATTAAAAGTTCAAAATTTATTCTTTAAATATCAACCCAACCTTTTGGGTTGACTTCATTTCATGGCTCCTATTGTAGCATTTGGGGCTATAATAGGATGCCTAGACCGGTTTTTTTTTTTTTCCCTGTCGCTTCATATTTTTTCTGAAAAAATCCGAGAACCAACAAATCAAATTGGTCAATGGTGTGGCCTAAAAATTCATTCATCAATACCAGTACCTTCATGCAACATACACTGATACAGTATCAAACCAATACCGACCTAGTGTTACAATTCACAGTGCTATGTTCAACTTATCTTCTCATATTTGTCATGTATATCACATTTCCTTCCATTGTACAACATCTGTATCTGTATCTGTATAGCCGGTATAACCGCCTTTTGGCGTAACACACCAGCTGACAACATGTTGATAGGGCAACTTGCATCGATGAGTTGCAATAGCTCCAACTAGAAGTGTGGCATGTACATGCTTCCTGATCCTTTTAATCTTTTGTACCTCACACAGGTACATGTACATAGAGAATGGTGGTCATGCATATGCTAACTCAGCACATGCATTGGCAGAACGTACTGCACCTGCGCAAAACCTGTAATGTATTATGCATAGCACATGTCATTTAAGGTCGTACTTGCGCATATAAGGTTAACATCCTGTTGGTAGTTTCCAAATGTTATGTCGGAAAAGATGTCCTCTGCGACAAGAAAAATTAGATATGCAAGGTTAACCAAACATCCAACGAAAACCGCAAAAAATCAGGGTTTTGCGCAGGCGCAGTACGTTCTGCCGATGTGCTTGCTAACTCCATCTTGAACTGAAGTCAAGCTCTGTCTTGTGGCTTCATCTGTTCCTCACATTGAAGCCAGTTATGTTCCTAATCTGCAGATGAAAAAGACAAGGAATAAATCAGGATAACAGTAAGTAAGAATTTCTAGGGAAAATCAAGGCTCATAATTCATTTTAGGTAATAGGTGCACTGGTGCACCCAACCTAAAAAATTGGGTGCACAAAAAATTTCTTGGGTGAACCATATAAGTAGAATGTCAGCAAAAACTAAGTTGTCAGCAAAAACTAAGTATGTTTCATTTCTAAATAAATGTACAGTACTGTAACAATGATTTTATTATTTTTGACCCTTGGATATTAAGAATATGCTGTATACTACGATACATTTAACATCTTTACATACGTAAACTTACAAATATATTTGAGTGCACTGGTGCACCCACAGAAAAAATGAGGTGCACAGCTCCAAATTTGGGTACACTTAAGGTGAACATGCACCCGGTATTTCAAGCCCTGGAAACGTATTCATACCACACCAGATCAGTATTTTGATTAAAATGGAGCAAAGTTCTGTTAAATGATACTTACAGTTACATAGGCTCCTGACAGTCCTTGTGCTAAACTTTCTACAGTAGGGGCCACCTGTGAATGAACAAGGAAATGTTATGTGTGGAGATCACAGCATCAATTCTGGAGATCTCTTGAGGACAAGTTTTTATTAATATGTCTGTTATTCATATTTTACAGAAAACAACATGAACCTTTGGTATGCGTCTGTGACTTATGACAGAAATGGAGATATTGATGAATGAATGAATGAAAGGTTATTGAATGAATTTATTCATCAAAACACATAGCAGCCAACGGCTGAATTGGTTGCTTGGTTCAAATCAAAAGATACAGTATAAAAAGAACAACATGACCCCATTTTTCACTGTTTTTGTTGGATTTTTGGTCAACGTTGCACCAGAATTTTGCCCGTTGCATGCAATTTTTTTTTTTCAACATAACATTTGGAAACTACAGACAGAGTGTTAACCTTATATGCACGAATACGACCTTATATGAAATGTTCTGCCGACATGCTATGCAAAAGATATTATGGATTTTGCACAGGTGCAGCACATTCTGCTGATGTTGTAAGAAACAGGAAGAGCGAGTAGAAACAGATAAAAACCCGGGCCGGGGTTCAAACCCATGACCAAACCAGGGCACCAGTCCACATGCCGACGCTCTAACGATTCAGCTAAAAGGTCTAGACCCATCAGTTGGTAGCGCCTATAACCCCCCCCCCCACCCACTGTTACACTACTCCCCCTTTTCTTTTCAAGATGCGTCCTCGAATCTTCCAAATTCGACATCCCTGGAGCGGCACTCAGCCAGTACTCCCAGGGCCGGTGTGGGAACCACTGTAAGAATTAGGAGAGCAGAAACAGATAAAAATCACTGGCCCTGGGCTGGGATCGAACCTCCTACCGAATCGGCTAAATGGTCTAAACCCATCGGCCGGGTCAGTTGGTAGCGCCTATAAACCCCCCACTGTTACAATGTGCTAAGAGAGTAAACGTTGCCAGCTCACCCCTCGCACGGCCTTGCCGAGTTGTTCCAGGTTGTCCAGACGGCTGTCGATGAACTGCCAAGTGTCCTGGAAGTCAGGCGACTGGTCTCTCACCAGCACCAGCTGGGCCGAGGTGTACACGCCCGCCAGGGTCACCCGCTTAGTGTACCAGTTAAACTGTCAATCATTCACGGAAAACAAAGATAGAGAATTCATTATCTACTGTCTAGAGAGGTAACATTTGCAAAGCAAATGCAAAATGTTTACCTTTGCATATGGTCTGCTCTGTGTTAGTTCTTACTCAAACACATCCATATATATGGTGACAGGAGTCTAAATCCCTCCTGCTACAAAATTGCAACATGATGTAACCCAACATTAGTCACCATGGTGACAGATGTCTGGTTCAGGTATATGTGGTGACAGGAGTCTAAATCCCTCCTGCTATAAAATTGCAACATGATGTAACCCAACATTAGTCACCATGGTGACAGATGTCTGGTTCAGGTTTATGTGGTGACTGGAGTCTAAATCCCTCCTGCTATAAAATTGCAACATGATGTAACCCAACATTAGTTACCATGGTGACAGACGTCTGGTTCAAGTCATTGACCTTATTGGTTTGGAGAAGAAGAAAAGGAAACAGAGCAAAAACAATATGTTTTCCTTCGGTAAACATAGTTAGCGTGTCAAAGAAGGATAGACATCCAGCCAGAACTCAACTTAAGTAGCTTCAATCTGTAAACTTGTAGTTAGGGATGAGTACCAGAAACCAAAACAACTTGATTTTGTATTTCAGTTCTTTTAACTTTTTCCCTGATGCCAAACCCTGTCACTAACAAAACTCTGGTGCCAAAAAGTTACCACTGCAGGAAAAAGGTTAAAATCAGGTATGTTGTACTTACATCAGCAGACCTGTCCCCTGCATGGTACCACATGTCATCCACCAGGCTGGAGAGAAGCTTCAGGGAGTCTGGTGCACAGTTGGGCTGGGCCAGCAGTGACATGGCCTGTCATAAACACAACAACGTCAGACAGATACTTTTCTGTAATTCCAATAATTACAAGTAACAGGTATGTGAAATGGCCTGCATGAATCATGACAACTTTTCAATAGTTCTACATGTAGCAACACAAGACATCAGGACATAATGCATGTTTTAGTACTTTTACATCTGATTCTATAAGTGATTGAGACAGTGTGTTTTGAATGTCTTGGAGTAGAAATAAGTTGAAGAGTCTTCTGGTTCTAGTTGGGTTTTGAACACTCAGAACATAGACATCAGCACCAAGGCCAGAACTATTTTGAAATCACTATTTTTTGCAATACTGATATTACCTGTAACTGTTATAAAAAACTTGAAAACTTGAGTGTGGTTCATCATATGTATGTCATGCCATTATGATTACAACTTTGTCTTACAAATGTATTATGGGAAAGTTTCCTTCAATTGCAATTGCTTGTCTATTTGTAATGTGGGACAAGCTCTGAGCACAGTACTAGTAAGTGTCTACCTGTGGCCAGTTGTCCACGTATGGCACAATCATTCTAAGACGGGTCTCCATCGCATCTCTCAGGAACTCTCGGGTATGTCTGCGCCTTGAGGTAAAGGAGTATGATGAAATATTTTCCATTGAATCAATTTACATGACAAGGCCTGCACAGGATGCTAATTAAAAAGGATGATTCCTGCAAATTGTAACTGTTTCAGTACTTAGTAAGTTACTCACTCCACATGCCCCTCCTCCACCTGCTGTGTCTCCTGTGCCATCTGCTCGGCCAGCTGTGCGTTACAGACGCCCACAAAATGCAGGGCCAGGTCCCCCCACCCCTGGGGAACATCCCGTGGGACACGGAGGGGAGGCCCTCGGTCTGAGCGGCCTCCGCCAGGGCCTCGACGGTCCAGCCGTGCGAGGGGACGAACTCCAGCGCGGCGTCCAACAGTCTCTGTTTCACCTCAGACTCCGGGATCTCCTCCTGGTGGGGATCTTCTGAACTGCAGATAATAGACGTAGTAAATGTTATTAAAATTTCTACAGATAGCATTTTAGAAAGATCGCTTCTGAACATGTGTTTCTTCTAGATCTACTTCTACAGCTGCTGCCGCAATGCAAGTCTTTGAAGCTGGTGTGTTATGCTGAAGGGCGGTTACACTGGCTATACCAGGGTTCTAGCTAGCTAGGATTTAATTTTAGCGTAGTGGTACTGGCCGCATGTCAAGGGAGCGAAGCGACCAAGAGGGGAGCTTTTAAAAGATTGAGCTAAAAGGGGCCATTTGAGGGTTACCTAAAGGGAAAAAATGTTTACTTATTTCTAAGGTCTGTACAATGTATCCTTGATTGTTAATTTTTCACATTTGATCCTGCATTCTTGAACAAAGAAATACAGTCACAACGCCCCTGTGCTGTATTGAAAATTTAGCGTGGGGGGTCAAAATTATAGCGTAGGGGGGGAAATTTAGCATAGGGGGTCAAAATTATAGCGTAGGGGCCCCCTACACTACTTTGCGCTAGCTAGAACCCTGTATACAGATACAGATACATGTACATAACAGTAGGTAATATCTTTGGAGAGAGATGGTCATGTCATGAATTACTTGGTCATAATAATCTTACATGTTATGGTTACCAATAAATTCATATTAAATTCAAGGCCATCTATTGCAGGCAAACTTCCCCACACATAATTTATTAGTTTACATGGCATGTATTTTCACCTTTGAAACTATGATCACAGGAAAAAATAAAACATTAATTTCATTTTTGAACGTGATGAAAATGATTGCAGATAACATAAGTTACATTGTGTAATGTCTAATGTTACCTTTCCCCAGAAGTTTGTTGTTCATTTTGTGAGCTTGAGTCTCCCTGATCTGTCTTTGAACATCTGAGAGTCGTAGACGTAGAAAGTGGTCGACTTCTTCCTGCTGTGCAAAGATCATTGAAGTACATGTACATGTACTTGTAACAACAAAAGTTCATAAAATACGGTATTACCGGCGTATTGCAACAGTTAGGACATGTTGATTTGATTATATGGATGACATCCACGCGCACATAAATTTTCGTCCGCTTCCAAAAGGAAATTTTTGACCATACTGTAAATGGTGCAAAGCAGCTGCAAAATGAGCAGATATATGCCGTAAATTTGCAAAAGAAATATTGGTAAACGATACTAATTTTAATAGAATGCCAAAATCAGTTTCAAAGGAAAAGAAGAAAATGTGAAGAAATGTCAGTTCTTGGGTTCCCACAGGATGTCATCCATATAATCAAATCAACATGGCCTTAATATATAACGATTACATTATACATTATATATATACATTACATAACTATGATGATATGTAATGTAGGTTATGAAAGACAGGAGGCGTTGATGTGTTGTGCAATGATATGCTGAGAGAGAAATCCTTGTTTCAAGCGCCCGGTGAGATCCACACAAATTATTTGAGTAAACAGAAAAGGCCTATAAAGGCAAAGTCCGGTTTAATATAATAATATGATACAAAATTTATGATGTCAACAAACACACACATGCCACAGATCTGTAACGTTACATTTTTGTAGGTCAAGGAGAGAAGGGCAGTCGAAAAACTACGGGAACCAAGAAAGTACACGTTTCTGTAATGCCTGCATAGGTCAGCACGATCTGAAAACATGCCAGATCCCATAAATCTGTGTTATTAAAGCTGAAAATACCTGTTCTGAGCAGTGAACTTGTGGAAAAACAAACGATTCTGATGAGCCGCAGCGCCATGTTTTCATCCAACCATCAGCCAATCGCGAGCAACATCACAGAAAGTTACGGAAACTTCTTACGGCTGTTCTCATTGGCCAAATGTATAAATAGGTGACCACAGCAGGACAAGAATTATGCCTTCATTATTTGTAAACGTCGTAGTCTTTTGAAGCTAAAATCGTCCTTTGTATATATTTTTATATAAAATCAAACATATCTGTAATTTATAGTTAAGACAGCAATGCAGAATTTTGCATTAGTAAAGTAGTTCGAACTGCATACTTGAGTGCACCATAATGTGCAGCCTTGGACACCCGTAATCAATGGTTGAATGTAATGTTGGGGGTAAAGGGACCATTTATCTTGTCCCGAGTATGTAAATTAGACTCCTTAAACAGCAATGAATGCAAATATCATGCAGATATATAATAATGTGGGAGAAACTAGGAAAAAGCAGTAGAAATCAGGAGAATATAAGAGAAAGAAGGAGAAAGGAAGAAAAAGCTAAAGAATACAGGAGAAAGCAGGAGAATACAGGAGAAAGCGGTAGAATAAAGGAGATAGCAGTAGAATACAGGAGAAAGCAGGAGAATATAGGAGAAAGCAGGAGAATACAGGAGAAAGTAGGAGAACACAGGAGAAAGCAGGAGAATACGGGAGAAAGCGGTAGAATACGGGAGAAAGCAGTAAAATACAGGAGAAAGCAGAAGGAATACAGGAGAAAGCAGGAGAATACAGGAGAAAGCAGGAGAACACAGGAGAAAAGTAGGAGAACACAAGAGAATACAGGAGAAAGCAGGAGAACACAGGAGAAAGCAGGAGAATACAGGAGAAACCAGAAGAAACCAGGAAAATACAGGAGAAACCAGGAGAACAGAGGAGAAAGTAGGAGAACACAAGAGAACACAGGAGAAAGCAGGAGAAACCAGGAGAATACAGGAGAAAGCAGGAGAAACCAGGAGAACGCAGGAGAAAGCAGGAGAACACAGGAGAAACCAGGAGAACACAGGAGAAAGCTGTAGAATACAGGAGAAAGCAGGAGAACACAGGAGAAAGCAGGAGAATGCAGGAGAAAGCAGGAGAATACAGGAGAAACCAGAAGAAACCAGGAGAATACAGGAGAAACCAGGAGAACACAGGAGAAGGTAGGAGAACACAGGAGAATACAGGAGAAAGTAGGAGAAACCAGGAAAAACCAGGAGAACACAGGAGAAAGCAGGAGAATACAGGAGAAACCAGGAGAAAGTAAGAGAATACAGGAAAAAGCAGTAGAGTACAGGAGAAAGCGGTAGAATACAGGAGAAAGCAGTAGAATACAGGAGAAAGCAGGAGAACACAGGAGAAAGCAGGAGAATACAGGAGAAACCAGAAGAAACCAGGAGAATACAGGAGAAACCAGGAGACCATAGGAGAAAGTAGGAGAACACAGGAGAATACAGGAGAAACCAGGAGAACACAGGAGAAAGTAGGAGAAGACAGGAGAAAGCAGGAGAATACAGGAAAAGGCAGGAGAATACAGGAGAAAGCGGTAGAATACAGGAGAAAGCAGTAGAATACAGGAGAAAACAGGAGAAACCAGGAGAACACAGGAGGAAGTAGGAGAACACAGGAGAATACAGGAGAAAGCAGGAGAAAGCAGGAGAACATAGGAGAAAGCAGTAGAATACAGGAGAAAGCAGGAGAATACAGGAGAAACCAGGAGAATACAGGAGAAACCAGGAGAAAGCTGGAAAAAGCACGAGAATACAGGTGAAAGCAGGAGAATACAGGAGAAAGCAAGAGAATACAGGAGAAAGTAGGAGAACACAGGAGAAAGCAGGAGAACACAGGAGAAAGCTGGAGAACACAGGAGAAAGTAGGAGAAAGCAGGCAAACACAGGAGAAAGCAGGAGAATACAGGTGAAAGCAGGAGAATACAGGGAAACCTGGAGAAACCAGGAGAAAGTGGTAGAAGCAATGAGAAACAATGATAAAGCAGGAGAACACAGGAGAAACCATGAGAAACTAGGAGAAAGCAGTTGAAATCAGGAGAATACAGGAGAAAGCAGGAAGAAGCAGGAGAAAGAGAGAAAGCAAATAATTTTCTTTTTTGTATACTGATTGGCGATAGGACTAGAAAATACTTTAATGCAAGGTAAAAAAAAGAATGATGAATGATGAATGACAGACTTGAATTTTATTGTACGTTAATACTCTCACGAGTTAAGTACAGGTCATAAAAGGTAAGCGCATTGATTACATAACGATAGCAAAATCTACCATAGCGTCTTAATATAAATGTATACTAATTTACTATGTACAGGTTCAACTTCTTCTCTCTTCCTAAACACAGTTGCAGATTTAAGACCTGATGATAAAAAGAAAGTACGGTGGAAATTTCATATAAAGGAATCAAAACTATTAGAGGAAGATTGATACATATACTGAGTCTTATAGACAGACTGTCGAAAATACAGACAAGAAGTTGCAATCTGGAGGAATTTCATTTTGGGGAATAGGTATTCTTGCATAACTATTTAGTGGTTACAATTTACTGATGTCATAGCGTATAACAAGTTATTTTTTCAAGAAATACAAGAAAAGGAAAATAACACATGAAAGATTGAGCAAGATGTCATGCTCTACACTATTTCTAACCTACATAAACTACATCTTGGCCACTATGTAAGGCCACAGCAGGTAAGTTTCTCCTTGTTTCTCCTAGTTTCTCCTGTATTCTCCTGGTTTCTCCTGTGTTCTCCTGGTTTCTCCTTTGTTCTACCACTTTCTCCTGTGTTCTCCTGGTTTCTCCTGTGTTCTCCTGGTTTCTCCTGTATTCTACAGCTTTCTCCTGTGTTCTCCTGCTTTCTCCTATGTTCTCTTGCTTTCTCCTGTATTCTACCACTTTCTCCTGTGTTCTCCTGCTTTTCTCCTGTATTCTCCTGCTTTCTCCTGTGTTCTCCTGCTTTCTCCTGTATTCTCCTACTTTCTCATGCTTTCTCCTGTATTCTCCTGCTTTATCCTGTGTTCTCCTGCTTTCTCCTGTGTTCTCTTGCATTCTCCTGCTTTCTCTTTTTTTTTTACTTTA